GCCAAAATTTTAAATGCTTATATTTATAATAATGGGTTAATGAAAATTTTCATGGACTTTTGGACCAGGGAACCCCTGAAGAATGGGCATAGAGGTGTATCCTGGTGCTGGGATGAGCCGGGTGATGGTGGACAGCTACAAAAAGCACAGGGGTACTGGAATAACAAAACCCTGCCCCTGGTCCCTTGAGACTGCAAACTGGGAAGCAACAGCAAGTGCACCTCAACCAATTTTAACTGCAGAGACAAAGTACACACGCAGAAACAGACAGAAACCCCGGTGTAAAAGGGCAGAGTGCAGGATACGGGCAACTCTGCAGAGCTATAGGAGTCAGCTTGCTGCTTTGTTAGGTCCCTCCTCCTTCTTACCAGCAGCAAGGGAGGTTCCTCCACCCCAGCCAGGATGCACACGGGAGCTCCAACGCCCCTCGTGTGATGGAAGCACCTCTAGAATTTGGGCATAGATTAAGTGTGCAGTGTCCCTTTAAAAATCCCAACTTGCCTTCCTTTCAGGAAAAAAAAAAAAAAAAAAAAAAAAAAAAGTAACACAGGAGCCTTCAACTATGAAGCTGTTTGTTGTGCACAAGTCATCCAACACTCCTAAAAGAGAGCTAATTTTTTTAGCATCTTTTGCTTTCAAAGCAACCAACTAAATGCAGAAACGTGGGCCCCCCCCAAGGGACTGCCTCCTCCCTGTGATGCAGATCGCCTGCAGCTAACATGCAAGTAGGACAGAAACAGAACTTGAAAATACTCAACCCTACAGACGACTCCATGAAAGACAAAGAAAAATGGATATTTGGCATGCAAAAACTGGCTCCTCATAACTGCCTGCTACTTCCCTGTGTCTGGGAGGGCTCCCCTGCAACCATTCGGTAGTGGCAACAGCAAATAATTTGTAAATATAACTATAAAGATATCTGCAAAGATATTAATATGTATGCATCAAAACTGAATGACCTTAAGCACTGTACATTTCAAATGCCACAGAAAAGTGAGACACTTAACACGTCGCTACGTGGCATTTTCTATGGGGCTTTCTGTTAACTGCTCACGCAAATAAATAGGAGGCAGAGTTTTACAAAGCCGTGTTTGTCTGCCCGCAACACAACAGCTCATTTCCTCCCCAACATTAAATTACATAACCACCTACTACACGAAATGCTTTTAAAAAGACAGGAAAAAGAGAAAAGGGAGAAAAAGAAGGAAAATAAAAAAGCCCTGGTACAAAATATATGCAGAATTTGTTTTCCAATGAAGGTCTAATAGGGTTACCTCTTAAGTCTGGATATGTAAAAAATTGCCCTTTTCACAGCTGATAAAATACAAATTAATCCTTAGAGGATTTAATATGTGCCTATTTATTACTTTCAAGTATGAAAGTACTGCTGCAATTAATATAGCCTACATTACTGTATGCGCTGGTCTGTAGCATTGTCTTTGAAACAAGAAATATATGCAAAGCTTTTATATACAGATATGTAGAGAAACACACATACGCAAAATGAATATATTTCTCCTTAAAATCTGCGAGCATAGGTGTGATGCAGTGCCTTTTCAAAGGCTGAGCATCCAGTGTGTCTCTGTTGTTCCACTGCTGCTGCCAGAGTCAACGTGAACTCCAAAGCTTTAAATTAAGGTGTCTTACGGGTATGAGATAATGATGTTATTTGTTTGCAACTGTAACTTAGCTTTATTCTGAGAAATGCAAACATTTTAAAAATTAAAGAAACATTTTTCTCCTCTTCACAGATTAATGTTTATTTAACCTCCATTTTTTTTTTTTTTTTTTTTTTTTTTTTTTTTTTTTGTAAAGCACTGTTTCATTTATTTGCTTGTGTTTCCAAAATTAACTCTTGGAATGCCAGTTGCAAATTCCCAAACAAGTGTGCCTGTCTTCAGTCAGCGAAGAGTTGTCATTTCAGAAATTTCTGACTCTATTTGCAGGAAAAAATATTCTTTACTTGCCTACTCCTATGCACATATATATTTTTTTTTTCCATCTGTTTAGCATACATTGGCCAGGTGACAAGTTTCTAGTACTTTGCACACCTTGAACATCTGCTGACTTTGAAGTTAAAGTGATTCATATCCTAATATTTTTCGAAAGCATTATTCAAGAATTGTTATTGCTCACTTAGATATGTATGCGTATGCATGTGTGTGTCTCATATATTTATATAAATATATATGTATGTGTGTACACATATGCATTTAAATAATAATAATAATAACCTTCAGGTTATTCATTTATCTGCCATGACTTCAAAAATTTTTTGGTGGAAATGGAGAAATGAAAATGATTCCATTTTTATCCTTCAGTAATGAATCCCCCAAATTACCATAAGCCTTGTTCTTTAAGTTCAGGGTAATGAGTCAGATTTTATTCATATTTTTTGAAGGGTTCAATATCTGTTTGATACTTTCCCTTTGTTTATTCATCACCAAAGTCTATATAATTTCCTGCGTGGTCGGTCGTTTATTTACAGTCTCTCCAGTAGTATTTATTTAGGGTAAAAGACCACCTCGGCGGGAGTGGAGGAGAGCAGCACTTCTGCATTACGCTGCCTCTTCTGTCCCATCTCAGCCCATGGAGCTCTTTTGACAGACAGCATGAAAAAAAATCTGCATAAGGAAAAGTAACTGACAGCTGGGGTCAGACTCTCTCTGTTTAATGACACTGCCAGTTACACATTTTGAATTGTTTAAATATGAGTCTACAGCTTCAACGATCATCATCTCACTGGTTCCACTTTTCATACCCAACAGCCAGGAAAGTGACACGTAATTACACACTTACTGATGGTATCGCCGGGGCCGATAATTAAAACTGCCACGGGAGGATTGCTATTGCTAGTCTACAGCTGGGATGTTGTCAAGAGGTAGAAACTCCAGCAGCTTTTAACGCTATCTTCTTACAGGTGGACCACGGGCGCCGGCGGTGAAGTAATAGAAAGGCCTCAGCACATCATTCACAATGTCTTGCACAAATGAAGAAAATCTATTAACAATCCAATAAGTGAAATACAAACATGCTGACCCAAGGGTTAAACTGTCTGGGTGGACGCACCGCTCGCTGCCGCTCAACATTGTTCTTTTTTTTTTTATTTCTTTTTTTTTTTCCCCTTTCAGATGTGTTTACAGGAAAAAAAAAAAAAAAAAAAAAAAACAAAACAAAACAAAAAAAAACAACCCACATTAGGAATGTTTTGCCACCTTTGGTAGCACAAAAGGATGCCGGGTGGGCAGTGCTGTCAGCGCCGTGCAGAAACAAGCCCCGTTGACTTCCCATGAGCTCATCGCTGCTCGATGACTAACTAAAACTCAGGGACAAGGAACGAATGAGCTGCCAAGTGTAAACATTGGAGGAAACACGGAAAGATCTGATTTTGCATGGTAGATTTTGTTAAATAACTACCTTTCGGGGCATTGCACCAGATTCGCATCCTGCCTCTGCAAAGACAGGGCAGAGGAGTGCAGAACCAGCAATGCAGAGCTGGAGAAATCAGCACAGCCGAGGTGATGGAGCACTCGATGGACAGCCCAAATGTCAGCCAGGCTTGGCATTGATTTGATGCTTGACTATTGATAAACCACCCCCCAGTTCTCCTCTTTTTCTCCTCCGATGAAATGGAGATTAAAATATGACCAAATTATGGAGGAATTAGTATCTGCGTAGTACTTGGCAGTTGCTTTTTTTCAGATGTTCACAACGCACTTATCAAGGTTTTCTGAAACTCTGTAGGAAAATGAAGCCAGCCAACTACCTGACCTTGGAGTGTGAAGACCCATTACCAGCACCGAGGTCTGCTGGCAGTTTCCTCGTGTCTGTCCCCTCGCACGCAGCCACGGACAGTCGGGATTCGCGGTGGCCTTGGCTCTGAGCCACACTGGGTTGAGACGAGGTGTGTTTTGGCACGAGAGCAGCTCCACGTTGGCAGGTTTGATCCCCAGTCACTGAACTCAACCATCTCAAGGGCTTCAGCTGGGCTGTGGCCAAGGCAGTTGCAGCTCCAGGCTTCCCATTAAGCCCCCTCCCTGCCTTCAGGGGAGATGTGTATTATCAAATGCCATCCAAAGGCAGCTCCTTCGCGTCCCCACAGCCACAAGAACTCTCCTGGCACGCTGCACATGCTCTTTCATCTTGCTCATGGCCAGCGCCTCCCTTCTGACTGCCTGCATGAAATGTCCCTAGCAAATGTTGGAAGCAATAATGAGGACATGTATCCCCATGCAGCCTTAGCATGGCTCTCACACCTTGGCCTCGGTGAATTTATAGATGTCTAGAAGAGTGAGGCAGTGAGTCAAAAGGACAAAAACTCCAATGCCAGAGGAGTCAGGCTAGTAAGAAGTTCCTTCCTCTGAGTCCAAAATGCATAACTTTCAACTGCTACTTTGCCTTAAAACATAAAATTAGAGTGAGCATCGCAACCAACCCACCAACTATTGCCCTTGCATTTAAGCAACCTCTTTGACATGTTAGGACAAACAATATTTATGAAATCTGGTCTCTCTGTATAGCAAACAGTCTTTAAAAGGAGAGAACCTGTTCCAATTCCTTCTTCTTTCCATCTCTACAACCATGCCTGGACAGAAATGCCCCATACTCATACTACAACATGTTACATAAAAAAAAAAAAAAAAAAAAAAAAAAAAAGAGAGAGATATTTCTGCTTCTGCATCATGGCTAAATTAGCCCTAACATTCTTTTTGACACCATACAAAATTTGAGGACCTAACAACATACATCTTGCACAAATGTCTGGGCGTACAGTTGGACAAAACAGGTATTTTGGTAGCTGCTGCTGAGACAAGAAGCCGGTGGGCGCCCACCAGGAAGCTCTCCTGAAGGTCTCCTGCTCATTCAGACATGCCAGTCACATAGCCTGCATGTCACTGATGTATATTAACTCTTGCCATGTTCAAGCATTTTCAAGATTGTTCCGCTGCCTGCACCCATGTAGAAAATTTAGGTGTCTTTTGCCATTGAATTATCTAATTCTTAATTAGAGTATACAAACTTTCTTAGGCTTTGGAAATTAAGATCTGAAAAAACTATTTAATTTCCCTGAGCTGATTTTTTTCTTAACAACAGCTTTGTCTATTTAATTTTGGGAACTTATAAAATATTTCTACTAAAACCTTTGCTGGGAATTTCTAAGTTTCAGACCACTTTGGGTATTTTAGAAAATTAGATTAATAAAGAACCTTGAACAATTTAAGTGTTATAAAATATATTTAACTAGAAATTATGACAAAACTAAGCATAGAGTTCTCTGTGATTTGAATATTTGCCAGTGAACTAGTCACAGAAATCAAGCTGTTATTAAGTAACATTAGTGTTAAGCACTGCAAAGTATTGAAATTCAACACAGACTTTTGCTAGACATTTTCCCTCTGGTTCTGAGTTTCAATTTCTTTAATGACCAGTAAACTACCATTATAAAGTTCTAAAATCATCTGAAGGAATAACAAGTACTTTCCTTCATTGAAGGCTCATATCTAAGATAAACCAAAATATATTTATAAATAATATCTAGTAAGGATTTTTCAATGAACAATGCAATAACCGAAAACAACCAGGCAAGCAATGGTCACATCCTGTGTTTTGCAATACGCTGATATATTAACTTACAATGTTTCTTTTTTCTTAGAAACTTAGTATCTGAAATTCTATCCAGTTGAGGTGAATGGATGATTTAGGATCAATTTAAGCAGCAGCACCATTTCACTTTTGCTATCTTAAGAAAAGAAAGTTGCGGTTTCCTGATACAAAAGGCCTCTTCTCTGCTTTTTGTTTTAAATTCACCTGATTGATTAAAACCATTCTCTCCAAATCCTTGATAACCAATGTATGTTGGCTACAGATAAATGTTATTATGGAAGGTAAATGTTATTCTGCAGAATAAATGAAGCAGATTTTCCACTCTACCAGGAGAGTGAGATGCCTGGGTGCTTTCACACATGTAGGTAGCACATAAACCTGTGCAATATTTGAACAGGAGTGAATGTGGATCTTGGACAAATCCAGGTGTCACTGAAACTCACATAGCCAAGTGCTTTAGCATCCTCACCTGGTTCTTACAAAAAAATCAAACCTTGGTCTCACTGCAATCCAGAGCAAAACCACCATTAAGATTAAAATGAGTAGGATTTGATTTACATCAGTGCAAGGCTGCTTGCACTGCATATGGAAAAATGTCATCAGCTGGTATCTTTCCAGGCCAGAAGAGTCAGAATAAGAGATGGTTGCTCTAGCTGCACTGTTAGCACTCTTGGAAGAGGCAAAACTGAGCTCCATCACCCCTCTTCTTCATCATTGCCTCTTCACAGTAGCATATCTAAAAAATGACATTGAGGAAACAGTTCAGATTGAGATTTTCCAGTCTCAAATACACCTAATTCACACTAGACTGAAGAATGACAGTGGCGAGCCACTACGTGTAAGGCCATGCTACGTGGTACCCGTTGGGTGCAAAGGAATCTGGAGAGCCGGCGACGTGCAGACGTGCCCAGGGATGGGGACAGCCACTCCTCCAGCTGCACGTGCAGCTGTGGTAAAGTCTGGAGAGAGCCTAAAACTCTGCTGAAGGACGAGTGAGAGGGGGGAAGGAGTTGAGGGAAGGGAGTAGAAGAGAAAAGTTGATCAGTGCTGGGTAGAGTCCATGATAATTAATGATGAACTATGCAGGGTTCAGCAAGCTTGGAAATGCTATCTAGGTTTTTAATTGGAAGTTTTAAGATAGTGTAAGCAAAACTATTTCAAACTGATATTTTACAGTACTCTTGACCAGTCAGATATGAAAGTCAATAAAAATATAGTCGTAGGAAACAAAGTAGAGCAGAGACAGAGACAGAAAGGAAAAAAAAATCAGCTTGGAAGAATGAGAATGACACAGAAAGGCAACTCTGTGTGCCAGAGAGAGCATCTCGCTCCAGTCACAGATGAGAAACAAATTATGGATCAGATTAATCTCTGAACCCACACTGGGTCAGTAGAGGAACTGAGGACAGGCATTTATTAGCTCTCTGGTTTTGGGGAATGCTAAATCAGAGCAAAGTCACCCAAGAATTGCCTCTGGCAGCCGCTCTGACCTCTCCAGATGTGGCGGGATGCTCTCAGCAGCAGCACGCACAGTGCTCCCCATCGCCATTGACAGAGCTCCCGGGTCACAACACACAGCAGCTCACCTAGTCCCAAATGGCATGAAAAAGGGGGCTACTCTATATGAACATACACACCCACACCCACACGTATATAATGCAAAAGCCAGAACTTCAACAGATGCAAACCAACGCAGTACTGTTGGATAGTGCTTCCCTGGAGCAGTGCCAATTTATAGTACCTAATAATCTCTGTTTAAATGCAACGCACATTTGTTTTCTTGAGTCCTGAACCACACAAATTCAATAATCTTTTTCCATAATTTCTGTGCGAAATAGGCCTGCAGTACAGAAAAGCCAACTTTTCTTCCAGTTGGGTTTATTTAGCAGCTGAAAGTGCTGGGATGGATAGCTCAGCAGGAACAGAGCCAGGATCATGTAAGCAGTTGCTGGGTGAACTTCCACCCATGCCTCTGCCAATACATCTTCATCTCCACTGGCAAAGTCCAGTGCTCCACCCCAGCCTTGGAGCGTTTCTGAGCAGAATTGGCAGTCATGCCCACCTGCGTAGCAGTTTTCGTGCTAGAAAGCCACGGACACTAAAATGAAGTTCCCAAATCCAATTTTCACTTGCGAATTGAGCCTCGGCTTGTACCCGGCTCTGCAGAGGTGAAAGGCTAATGCAGTGCCCCGGCGTGCCACCGAGGCTCTGCCATCGCCTCCTAATGATGTTTTGCATGCTGCACGAGCCGGCGTCGGGAGCTGGGAGGGAGCTGGGGCTGCCCTGAGGGAGGGATTCACAGCCAAGAGGAGACGGAATGCCAGCCCGAGAGGGAACGCGGCACGTGGCACAGGCAGATCCAGCAGCCGTTGAGCGATGCTAACAACCCCCGCAGCAAAACCACAGCTTCCAAGCTGCTCAGAAACTGCGCGGAAAAATTTGCCCTGGCAAAAATCACATGATGTTTTGCAGCCACAGACGCCCACCCAAGACAAGCCGCGGGCAACTCGGTTATACTAACGCAACCCCTCCTGTTCCTATCCCGATATATTGATCTTGATGCAAGTTGAAGGCTGTTTAATGGGTGTCTCAAGGATTAGTAAGCACCTGCACATTTATGAAGGTTTGTTTCTGAACCCATGCAAGTGAAAGCCGAGTGCTTAAAACTCAGCATATTTTCTGCTTTCTTAATATAACAGTTATTCCCTAGCTTGTCCATGGAGCTTAGTGGATGAGCAATAATAAACACACGCTCACCCTTAAGTCCATAAATATAGGCTTCTTTCCAATCCCTGGCTTAGAATTGTACCTCAAAAAGAGCAGGTAATTTTGCTTTACTGTCATCTGTATCATAGCCACAATGTGCCAAACGTTGCAGAAGTATGAGAGGATATTTTATTAGCTGATAAGCTGGACTACTATTCACTGAGGAAGAAAATTATCAAACAAATTACACTGAGAACCAATAATAGGGGAAAGGTTAATGATTTCTGTAAGCCACCGAATTCACCCACCCCTGTAGTTTACTAAGAAAATTAGGGTTTCTTCATGCTGAGCTTATGGGAACACTTTACCCATATTTCAACCCTTCTTTCCTTGGAGATCTTTGACATCACTGCTTTCTTGCTTGAGAATTTACATTAAGGACAATTATATAACAAAAATATACCACCGTTCAGGAAAATATACAACTTCTTATCAGAGGGATGTGGATGTTCTTCTTTCCAGTCTACAGACATGGAGATTAAATTTCAGAGAGAGATTTATTTTGTGCTATTGTCCTGTTATTCACCAGAGGATTGTGCAATGCAAGTAATCTGATCAGAATAATGCATAGGGACATATTTCAGAAAACCAATAATTGTGGTAACGTTGAGCTCTGCAAGGTGCCAAAATAAAGTCCAAAATCACTCTCACTCTTTTCCACAATTCCTTAATCATGGCATCATAATGTGCTGCTCTGTTGTCCATTAAAGCCACAAGCTTGAAGTAATCAATGCTGGACATTTGGAGATTTATTGTAATTTTAGATCTACAGCACTTTTGCAGGCTGAAAAGCAAAATTATATTTTATAGGTGTGCCGTATCTTACATTTTACAGCTTTTACTTCTTTAAGCTGGCTTGGTGCAGGTTTTTGTTGTTGGCTTGAGGTTTTTTTTTTCTTTTAACCTGAGTGCTGCAGGCTTTTTTATGATGTTAGGAAGCAGTTAAGGCAAACAACAGAAAAAATTACTAAAACTGACTGTATTTAAATTCTGTTTACTTCCTTAACCTTTTGACTTACCTATACAAAAAGTAATCTTTCATAAACAAGTCCCAAACAAAATCATTGCCTATTTTACTTTCCTTAAACCCTTGTGGAATAAGCAGAAATTGTAACAAGATCCTTTTGACCGTTTTTTATTCCGCTCATATTTGCAATGATTTTATAACTGACGCTTGGTTTGCCTCTCCACATTATCACAATCAGTGCATCCTGGGATTAAAAACCATTTAGGGCCCAACTCTTAAAGAAACTCCCCACACAGCAGTATAATGAACACTGTTCCTTTTTATTGTTGCTAGGTTTATTGTTATGCCAAAGACGCTGCAAAGCTCAATTCTCACTCTAAAAACAAAGGAGTGACCCACTTCCCAGGATGGCTCTGGTACAGAGGCAGCACAAAAGGTTTTGAGGAAGGTAATCCTGGCAAACATGCTACTAAGGTGGGGCTGGGTCAGAAGTTTCACAAGCCTCAAGACAAACATTCATGGGTTTTCTTTCAGTTTTAAGAACTTGGTGGCACCTATTATCAGAAAATGAACTCACCATTCTCTAATCAGTATTCTGTGAGGGACAGAGGAGCAAGGCAATTAAGCAGCATCCTCAGGAACCCACCCGCATGCTGAATCCAGGACAGATGCTGCAGATGTTGCCAGATGTGGTGCTTCAACTCACCACCGAGAAAACATCCAAGCTTAAGGCATTCCTTCCCTATGCCCTAAACTTTAAGCTCATTATCAAAACAGCTAAAACCCACTCTGAATAAGAATGTATTCACGACATGCTGGCACGGTGTGGACTTGCTTAGACGATTCTGTGAACTGGAGTCCAAAACGGGGCTCACACGTGTAGGGCAGTTGGCATTTGATGCTCTGAAACTTCTTGTTATGGACACGCCAAGACTAGCTCGACATGAAGCACAGCAAAGACTATAATCCAATATTTTAGCTAATACTGTGTAAACATGCAGCCCCTTACTTCTAATAGCGCCTTTCAGCCAAGTGGAGCTCAAATCCTTATGACTGGAGGATTCCTTACTGACTACTGAAATATTAGAATTCATGTGAAATATAGCAGTGCTGGCACAGAAAATAAATATGCGAGTCCTTGTTAGGAAACAGAGTGCAGAAAATGTATTTGATTAATGTATTTTAGAGAGGTGAATTATAGCTTAGCCATGTTGAAATGTGACCAGACACTTCGAAACTGTCGCTGGATCCTGTTAGAGAGCACAAATGGTCACGTTTTACATTTCATGGGAAAGGCAGGCAGTCCAACCTGCAAAGTTTCTGAGAAAATATGTTACCCGCTAAACAACAAACGCCATTCCCTGCAGCAACTCCTATCTCTGTGGAAGACCCCACTTCTATAACCCACCCGGCAAAAGTGCCGCTTAGTTTTCATGGAGGGAAAAGATCTCAGCTCAAATAACAGATCACCCAAGACAACACGAACAAGACTAGAAACTCTGTAATTGGATAACCACAAAGGAAAATTCCTAAGTAATTGCCTGTGTAAGCACCAAAATGTGAATGCTGTGTGTCAAAAGACAAGAATATCAGATAGAGTAGATGCGGCTAACAACTGATATTCACAGAATAGATGCAAAAGCATCGAAAAAAACAAAGCCATGAGGTCTTTGTATCCTCAGAGCGACCTGCAGGCTCTGAGATCGCACTGTTGCAGGAAAGGGGAACACAACCATTGATTTCAATGAGTGCAGGATCAAGACCATAATGCTTATAGCAGCCATACACATCAGTGTAAACCTATTTGTAACAGAACCTAAGGGCACATTTCATGTATGGCTGGGAGGAAAACCCACTCACAATGGAGGGCAGGAGTGTTCATGTAGAATTTATACTACAAAAGAAAAAGGAAAAACTTTCCTCTGTGCCTCTATGTGAATTCATCAATTTAACTTACACTTAAATGGAAAATCGCTATACAGAGACCATAAAAACGTATTATGTTATCAATTGAATGGTTTACACTGCTGGCAAGCTCAGGGAAAACATACCTTTTCACTATCACCAGCCTGAGTGAACCACATTATGAAGGATCCCATATATATCTTTAACTTTTGTACATGGCAATTCTCTTCGCATGTGCTCTCCTTACCTTAAATCAAGTGAGTGATGAGAAGAAGGATGAGGATGAGTAGAGAAAGGAAGAAGATGTAAAGAAAAAGAAAAGCTGAGAAGGAAAATAAAGAGAAAATAAAGTTAGGGATGAAGAAGAGACAGAAATGGAAAATAGAGCAAGAAAAGGGCAAGGTGCTTCTCAGGAGTCCAGGATAACAAATGCATCTCAATAAAGGCCAGTTGCTCTAAAAGGAAAACAATTCACACATCTTTCCTTCCTAACGTATATTCTAGTTCCACATGCCAGGAGGCAGAAGGGCAAGAAGAGACCAGAAGGCAGGGAAAAGAAGACATGGTGCTGGGCAGAATGTTGGCTTAGCCAAATATTTTCTGCAATAAATCCAGTGTTGATTAGCACTAGGAGAAAGTATTTTATGCCTGTCCCCATTCTGCGACTGCCACAGGCAACAGATGATGGTGTTGGGGGGCTCTCCTCTGGACCTGAGCACAGCAAAGCAGTAAAGACAGCGTGAAGGGACATTCAAGAGTCCTTTCATTCTGCTGCTTTCCCATACATTTATGGTGAGGCAAACATGGAGCAGTAGGGCCATGCATACCTCAGAGGTCAACGTATGCAAAGTTGGCTGCGGCACACCCGTGGCTATATCACCAAACTGCCACTCTGCCAGCCTAACAGCATCTTTTCTACTCCCAGAACTCCAGATATATATGTATATAAAACATTTTATGTATACACCTATAGAGATGTAGGAATATGTGTTTTCCCCCTCTGCTCCGCTCTGGGGAGACCCCCCTGCAGTGCTGGGGCCAGCTCAGGGGCCCCCCACAGCAGAAGGACCCGGAGCTGCTCGAGCGGGGCCAGAGGAGGCCACAAAGATGCTGGGGGGGCTGGAGCAGCTCCCCTGGGAGGCCGAGCTGAGAGAGTTGGGGGGGTTCAGCCTGGAGAAGAGAAGGGTCCAGGGAGACCTTCGAGCGGCCTCCCGGGGCTTAAAGGGGGGGTGGGAAAGGCGGGGAGGGACTCTGGATCAGGGGGTGGGGATGGGACGAGGGGTGATGGGTTTAAACTGAGAGAGGGCAGATTTAGGTGAGCTCTAAGGCAGAAATTGTTCCCTGTGCGGGGGGTGAGGCGCTGGCCCAGGGTGCCCAGAGCAGCTGTGGCTGCCCCCTCCCTGGAAGGGTTCAAGGCCAGGTTGGATGGGGCTGGGAGCCCCCTGGGCTGGGGGAAGGGGGCCCTGCCCGGGGCAGGGGGTGCCACTGGGGGGGCTTTAAGATCTTTAAGGTCGAATCCAACCCAAACCATTCTATGATTTGATGATTCTATGAAGCGGTTTCTGAAAACTGAAGTTTCTCGGACTCTTTTGGATTTTTTTTTTTGTTTTTTTTTGAGTCGGTCTGCCACATCGCAAAGCATAGCAGTGGGGCACACTGACGTGCGGTGTGGGAACAAGTCCTGCACATTGCCTCATCCTGCTCCATTCCGCTGCCCCACCTCAGTCAGCAGGGCCCCGCAGAAACAGTCACTGTTTGGATGTCACACAGATTCCTGCCAAACCCCCTCGTAATTAGCAGAAGTGACGGTGATATGCAGTATCCCAACGAGGGCCCACGCTTGGGCAGTGTGAAGGGCCCTTGGCACGAAGGATTGTTTCCCCAGCCCCGTCCTCTCCCACCACGAGTCAGCCCGGTCCGACCTCTCCGACGTGTCAGGTTTCAGTCCGCTTTAAAAATTTTTACAACACAAAAGTGCAAAGGGAGTAATGAAACTCTCACCCTTAACGCTGCACTCCCAGGCGGGGGAGCAGGCGTGGGGTTGCTGAGAAGGGCAGGGGGCTGCTTAGGTGGTTTTCCCCAACTGACCATCCCTCATGGTCCCCCTCCCTCTCCCGTCCTCTCTCATTACCGTGTAAAAATCCACTAATGCAAAGAACAAACATTCCTCCCAAGCTAGACACGGGAAAAAATTAAATGTAGGAGATTTGGAAAGCATCGTTATTTTTGTTTTAAATCCTTTGTGGAAAGTTTGATGGTCTTTACTCATGAAAAATCAAATTTTTTTTTTTTTTTTTACTTTTTATTTCTCTTCTCTCTTCCCTTCCCCCATAGTGATTACTGAACAACTCTATCACAGGGATTACTGATGTTAACCAGGACCACACAGTCACATTAGACAGAAGTTTCTGTAGGAACTATCCTAAGGAATCTAAATTAATGATGGAGATTGTTCTGGACTGCTGACTGCAGGATTGGTTACTTCATGTTAAGAAAACAGCACTGCACAAATCCCAGGAGCTCAGAGAATGATGACAGGAACGATCAAAGGAGGGCTGGAAATCTATTTATTAATGAAATATAAAGAGATTGGTAGATAACAATTATACCTTAGAAGGAAGCCCATAAGGGAAGATGTGATGCAGTATAAAAAATACTGATCAGCACAGATGAGCCAGATCAAGAGCTTCTGACTCAAAGCACACAATCAATTAAATGCTCACAAATTCAAAGCAGATGAAAAGAAATTTTGTGTTGCCCAACCTGAAACTCAGACAAATGAACATCACTAGGTTCAACATCACAGCAATATTCAAGTCCGGACATTAATATATCACAAAGGAGCAGAATCACTAATTACGAACTCTGGATGGGGCACTACACATCAGTCTTCTGGCTGTAAGCCCATCTCCATCACTGTAACCGGAAAAAGATTTAAAGAGAAGAAAATTCCCCAAATCTGCTACTTCATGTGTCAGTGGTGGCCATGGTAGGACAGAGAGAGCTGGGCCAGGTGAGCAAGGCAAGGCACCGCGGGTCTCTGATGAAGTGTCTTGTAGACACGTTTACTGTGCGATAGCACCTCTGCATTTTATGAAACTCTTGCTGGCCAACAACGACGTGCTAAAATCACGTCGGAAAAAAAGCATTAATTGTGTTGGAAGCCTGTGCTTATAATTATGACCCACCTGATCTCTCTGACCGCAAAAATCATTCTGGTGGTAAAACTATGCGGTAGCATCGGAAACCGGTGCGCACCGGGTTTTATTCAACTCAAGCCGCCTGAAGAAGAGTCACATAAAAATGTTGTTAAAATAAACTTTGGTAGACAGAGACCTGGTGTAAACCAAGTGTAAACTCTGAGTGGATTTTTACTACAGACCCATAAACCTCTGAAAATAAAAGTTTGTAGTGGAAATCAAGAGAGACATCTATCATGGGAACACTGGGTGCTCCTATGGTCTGCAGGTACTGACTCCCCCCTGCAAATCTCACCTTCTTTTCCAAAGCTGTGCCTATAAATGACACTCCTAAAACGTCACTGCTGCCTCCTTGAGCACAAAATTATTTCAGTGCTGGCTCCCTTCCAGTCTCAGGCCACAGACAGCAAGGCGATTCCTGTCCTCCACTTTTTTCATATCCCCCAGGAAAACTTGATGGGAAAGACACAGCTTTTGTTGGTTGTAGCACATCAAGATCCCAAAATTACTACTAATTGTAACATTTGTAATTATTTCTAGCTTTTAATTTTTATAATGACTCTTTCTGTTGACCGGAGGGAAATTTTAATCCCAAACGTGCCCAAGTGTCAAAATTGCCATTACACTTCAGGAAAAAAAAAGGCATTTAAGAAGGCATAAAGTTTACTTATTGAAAATTAGAAATTAATATTTATTGTCAGATTTCCGTTGGAGATTGAAACCTTTTATTTAACACTGTCTGGAAGTGTAAATTATTCAAATGTTTACATTTGAATGCTGCTGTACCCTAATGATTCCATTTTCTGCAGTATATTAGTGGTAAGATAATGAAAAGCTTCATCAGAGTGTTAAACATCTAGCTGCAACTCTTCAAGGCAGTGGAAGAGGCTCGCTGGTGCAGTCAATTAGGGCAGCAGAAGTCAGTAGTGTGAAATGAGGGTCTCCAGCCACAGCCCCCTGATCGGCCAGGTGGCTGACCTACACGGACAAAACAATAACATACTCATTGCCCCTTCTGTAGCATCAAGATGACCAAATGGTTGTTAAGAAGGTTTTTTCCACTATCCAAACGCAAGTATATTTAAAATCTGGATAGGCTTCAGCTTGGCCAGCAAAGGGGTTGTGTTATGAAGTCAAGAGGCATGCTTTAATTTTGATTATTTGAGGGTTTTTTTAAGGAATTGAAGGAGTTGAAGGGAGAAAGCAGCTAAGTTTGGAAATGGTTAGCATTGTTTTGTTTTGGGTTTTTACTTTATTTTACTTAAGAAATAACAGAAAAGATATATCGCTGTTCTTCTCTAGGAGACTTCTGTCTCTATCGAGTTTGTTCTCAGTCTTCTACGAGGAAAGACAGGAGCTTTCACTCCTTGAGAAATGCCTGCTCACAGAGACCCTTGCACCAGCCAGCCGAGCAGGATAAAATGGCACCAATAAACAGGGAAGGCTGGAGGTCACCACATTCCTCTGCCAGCCCAGGCACTGCTGCTCGACCCACCCCCACCCCAGGGCAGAGGGAAATGCCCCAGCCCAGCCCAGAGAGGAGGAGCTGGCCTGGGCTGGCACACCGGTAATATTTTCTGCCTTAACTGAGATTTTTCTGAACTTGATCTGTTGCATTAGGTGGTTAATTTTTTCCCCTCTCCAGGGTTTTCGTGGGATATCCTGTTCATGCACCCAGAGCCTAGTATACAGGTGACTGGAGTTTCTCGTATTTAAAGAAAAAACAAAAAACACACACAAGCAAGTAGAAAAATGTTTTTTAAACTGTTAAGACAGTTTTTTTCTACCTCATAAAGAACCAAAAAGGGGCAAAAGCCCAATTTTCCCACCATTACAACCTCAATTCCAGCCCTCACCTGTGTCACTTCTGTTACGCACAGTCCAAAGCACTGCAGCTGCCCTTGTATTTTCTGCCAGTATAATTTTTTAAATACACAAATATTATACTCCAGGGCATGTTTTCGTGGGCCAACAATACATGCCTCACTTTTATTGTGAGGCACAAGCCCTTCAGTTTCGTGTCTTTTGACCTCCCAAGAAATGTATTAATGACTCTATAAAGCTCTCTCTGGCACGTATTCATATTAATACAATATACTTCTTTGTTTTTATATTACATAGTAAAAGGGGGGAGGGGGAAAGAGAAGGAAAAAAAGACAGTTATTTCAATATCCTTCCACCACAAAACATAGTTTAGAGGGAAAAAAAACAACAGTGATCTGAAGAGGGATAGCTGACATTATTTAAGCTATATTTTAGCCTGGCTTATTTCTATTCCTACTTATTTCTCCATTACCTTCAGCTATGGCTCTACTCAATCCAGTAAGCAAGTCCAGATTTGGCCTTCTGCAGCCGCTCGGAGCGAGCCACAGATGCCCCCTGCCCACCGAAGGAACGAGCTCCTTCTGCGGGCAGCATCCCGGGGCAGCCTCGGGGAAGGGGCTCGGAGAGTATTTGGAAATAACAACTTCCCCCACCTCCCTCCACCTCGCTCGCGTTCCCAGGTGCAGAGTTCGACAAGTTGCTTTCAACCTGGAGCTAGCGAATGGCAAAACACAGCTCCGAAGGCTCAGGGAGGAGGAAAGCAGCAGATCTGAGCGCAAGCCCTACCCTTGGGTCCCCCGATGAGCACATCTTTCGTGCCTTAAAAAATTAAACAAATCACAAAACCAACAAAAACGCTGGGAAAATAACTTCTGCCACGTTTTCCTCTAATTATTTTTTATTCCAAAACAATTAAAATGAATTTACTAGAGGCTTAGTTCAATACTCGGGCTACTCCTTGATCCTAGTGAGCACACTGGGACCAAGTTTTGCCGTGACTGGTTCATTTAATCCCCTGTGCACACAACAGCAAATGATGCTAGTGGTAAACAGTTTGCTAAACATTGGTGTCATATCCACACAGTATAGTATAGTATATCTACAGACATTTTCCAGTGCTCCAATTTTGCTTTTTGATATAGTGGCTATATTAAAATCCCTATCAAAAACTCGTATCTAATATTGCGATGCCATTATCAGTCTCTCATTTGCACGGTAGACATAAATATATATCACCCCTTACAGATGGCAAAACAGGCTCAGCTAGGAAAATAGCATGCTATCACTTACGTCGAACTGATACGGACAGAATATGTTTTGGCTAACGTTTTAATTAAATCAAATACTTGATAAAATCAAATATAAAACTCAAAATCGCCAAAGGATGTCACAGACTTCTGAAGTAGACCACAGTGCTCCAAATCCACAGAACAACCACAGCAATTATTTTTTACTACTTATGAGTAAACCTTAATTTTGACTATAGTGTCCTCAGCTCTGCTACGTACATGGGAAAGGAAGGCAAATCTGGTCTTACTCCTACCTAACTCTGGGAATTTTTCCTCCTACTTTGAAAGGAAAAACATCACAGTTCATAAAGTGTGTCCTTTTTGTTAACGCAGAACTACTTTTTTCCTTCTAACACTTCCAAAAAAACACTTCAGAAGTTGATAGAAGCAAGTTAGGCAACAACTCTTTCAAAAGGAAGTCTCCAAGATGATCTCCAAATTTTGATGGAGTGGAGAAAGTGTCACCCAAGAAATAATAGAAAACAATCGACAAAACCCCTGCACATAAGAGTGGTAGGGCATTTGCCAGTATTTTTAAATTCATAGCAGCATCTTAGCTTTTGTTTATCTTTGATATTTAAGGCAGAATAGATGGGAATATTCATAATTAATAATGACTAAACCAAAAGTTTATTCTTTTTATTAATTTTTAAATTTAGAAAAATATTAAAAAACATGAAGCTGAAGTTATTTGGCAGGCTCCTTGCAATGCACATAAATAAATCTCTTTCAGCAAGTCTCCAAGGGTTTTAGGCAAAACTTTGTGAATGCCAAAGAGGAAATCTAAAAACAATTTCTGGCTTATTTGTTGAGCCAAAAAAGTGGACATCATGTCCAAAGTACAATTTGAAATATTATTTTTTGTACTAAAAAATGAAGTGATGAATGTTTTCAGATGAAGACTGTCTAAGGAGCTTTCCAGTGAACCAGTGTCACAAAGATTTTAACTCTTAACACCAGCCTCACTTCAGCGTTTTTATTTCAGGTTTTGGGAGGGAGCAGCAGACCACAAGACAGATTGGGTTTGTTTCTTTGTTTCTGGTGAGCTTAACTTTTTGTCAGACCTACTCCAGCCATTTTTAATATAGGTTAATAAGTGGAAAGTCATCAGTGGTCTAGAGCTGATTCACTAGTAGGCTTTTATGTTAACTTGTCCATAGAGGATATCCAGCTGTCTCCATCCAGATCCTAGTGAAATATTTAAATTATCTTCTCTAGCATGAACGAGTCAAATTTCAGGGCAAGCTGAGCAAGCCATTAGGAAACAGCTCTGTGCTGAAGATCCCACGGTGCATTTGTAAATGAGGGTGAGTTTGGTAACAATCAGGAAAGGTTTTGGAAATAAAAATCTCTCTTTGCTCCTGATACTCAGAACAAAGTCACCAGGATGGTGCTGGGGAAACTCCTGATGTGGCTGATCTGTTCCTCTTGGGCAGGTTGGACGGGGCTTTGAGCAACCTGGTCTAGTGGAAGTTGTCCCTGCCCATTGCAGGGGATTGGAACTGGAGGATCTTTAAGGTCCCTTCCAACCCAAACCATTCTATGACTCTATGAAGTAATACATCAAGGACGTGCAGACTGGCCAGCATGTCCCCCAGGCTCATTAATGTACAAGCTTCCTTATCAAAATTTTGCAAAAGCCTAGACTTTCCATGTAGGGTTGTAACACGCTTGTTCTAACAGAGAATATCTTCGTGAGCTTTGTATCAAATGTGGCACCGAAAGCTGTCAGAATACCTATGTGAGAGGAAGTTCTCCAAATGAAGGTTACATTTTTTTAACGTCGAGTTGATTGTCCTTTTTAATGAAGATTTGCTCTGTTTTGTTTCAGTAGATGACAACTTTTAGTTACAAATAAAACAGAATAGGATCTCTTAACATGCTGTCATTTGAATTTCCACTCTGTGAAAATTTCCACTCTGGTGCCCTTCCCTGCAAGCCCCTTCATCCCAAGCATCAGCATGAAGGGCAGCTCAATGGAAAGCAGCTGGGTCCAGCCAGAATGCAAGGCAGGGGGATTGAAAGAGTTGGTGTCTGAGTCATCTTCTACACAATTTTCACAGGTATCTGATCCAAAAAGCATTCACTGAGTGAGCACCAAACCAGCAAATACTTTTAAGAATGCCTGTACTTGTGCTGCTATTTACCCTGATGCAGAAGAACAGTGGTTTCCTGAACACAAATATAAAATCTAATATCATTTACAGAGTACCACTCTTGCCATTCTCCTTGCACAATATACTTAGGGAAGGGACATACTTGCCAGAATCACAGGCAGACTTCAGCTGTCTGTGCATATTGGTTGTTTGCAGTATCTTCCACTGCAATTAAATTTGTATCCTCAGTCAAAACATCAGCAGAATTGACAGACTTTTTCTTTAAATAAGGTTTTCTTCAGCTTTGAGATTTCTAATTATTGTTATCATCAGTACAAATGAAGGTTTATGTAAAGTGGATATACTAATTTATTCCTTTCCCTGATAAAAAATATTGTATAATTCACTGAAAAAACGACTGTTGCCATTTTTAAATTCCTGTAGACACTAGCTTCTACCACACTGTTCTTTTATGCATCGCGTCACTTCCCAGTTGCCTGTTACTGAAAATGAATATAACAAAATCATATACACCAGCTAAAAATTCAACTTTAAATATTCCTTCGTCGTAGCTGGTTTTCAAGTGAATGATTCTCAGGAAAAAAATGTAGGTGTATTTTTGAAAAGGGCGCACATTTGTATTGCTCAGGTTGTATGGCGGCATATTAAAAACCCTTGCAAATGTTTCTCTGCTGAGAATGAAAAGTTAAAAGCCTTTCCCAAACCGGCTGTGTGTCAGCATCTAAACCAGGATCCTCTGAGCTTTCATCTCAGCTTCCTAAAACTGAAATTTTCACAAACTTTAATCTCTCATCATCAGTGATCTTGGTTTGTTCAAATTGGTGGGATTGGTCAAGCTCATTTCTAACAGAAACCTTAAGGTAAGGTTCAGGAGACGCGTATGTTCACGTTGACACCAGCAGGATACACTCTATGTACATGAGAATTGTCTAATTAGAAAAAGGACCCACTAATTTTTTTGAGTCAATGGACACAGTATCATCATTTATTCAAAGAGCAATCAAAAGTCCATTTATTTACTCCATTAAAAGACAGCATTACCTTACATTGTCTAACAGAAAACTTGGACTGAAATTCATCTCTCTTTTGAAAAGTTAGCATCACTTTCTTTTTGTCCCTTGGATTTCTATGATCATTTTGCTTGGCAAAAAGTTGGTTGTTTGCTTTTTTTTTTTTTTTTTTTCCATAGCCACAAGTCTAAAAATTCACTGTGGTGCAAATAAAAACTTGCATCTTTCTGGTTCATTCAGAATCACCAGGAGAGCTGCATTTCTGTTACTAGATAGCACGCAACTTTAAAGAGATTTGTTATTGCAGAAAGTAAGATGCTTCACACCCATTTGGACAAGCTCAGGTGTTGAAGCAGTTGCTATTAAAACTTAAAACCATCTTTGGCAGAGAGCAGACCAGGGGTATCGCTGTGACCAAAATGTGTCTCCCAGCGGGTCATTGGACAAAGTGAACTAATTACCATCATTGGCAGAGCCACTAGGAAACCTGGTTGACTGAGGGTGGTATGCACAGAATGACACAAATTCAATCACAGAATTTACCGTTATGCTAGGAAATAGCTGGCAGCATCGGTACAGCGGTCACAGAAAGAAGAGGCTTATCTCAAACTGTTACAGGAGAGCGGAGCTGTGCAGTGACTGAACTGGCTACAGACCCTGCTGAAGACTTTTGGCCAAACTTAAATGCTGGTCTGATTCAAGTAATTCCTTTCTCGTTCAGTGTTGTTAATTCATTTTATATGTAAACATGTGTTTTATCATAAGGCACATTGGTCCTTCTCAGGGTAAAATGCAGACAACAAACCACAGCTCTTGGATATAAGAAATGTACCCATTTCCCATGGCACCATGAATCCTTACCTAAGAGTTTAGTGAGATACCTGCTATCTGAATTTTCAGGATATACTATTTTTTTCCAGCCAACGGAAATCCTTTCTCCAGATTTTATCATGTCATAGCAAACTTACATGATACTCCTGCAGGGAAGTTACCTAAATTGATGAGTTAGGAGAGGACAGGCAATCACAGAAAGCAGTTCACATCTCCCAAGCTTGCAAAGGAGCATGTGGCTACTGGTGTCCTCCAAAGCTCCACCGAGCCTTGTGGATGACTTAGATGAGCCTGTCGAGCCCCTGAACCCTCTCCTTGCCTTGGAAGCACCTCCCAGAACTCATAGTGGCAGATTTTCCTGAGGGAATTCAAACCAAAAAGGGCAAGAAGTGGAAATATTAAGAAGGGGTTCACAAGCAAAGTGCAGAATAAGGATCATCTCCTGAGTGGTACCTACAAGACAGGACTTCAGTGTCCCATCTGCAAAATCTCTCCCAAGTTCTAAGTAAAGATTTCTTTTTGTCTTTTTTACCCTTTGGGGAAAAAAAAAAAAAAAAAAAAAAGAGAGAGAGAGAAAAATCAAAGCTTAGTAAATTAATAGAAGACAACTGAAAACGTCTGAAAAAAGCAAGCATCCAAGCAAGAGCTATCCCTGTCAGGAGGTTTTCCATAAATCCTAACTTCTCATCATCTGAAAATTTACTTCTTTAGCAACAGATGGTGTGACCCTTATGCAATTAGTTAGGTCTGCTCTTAGAGAGACAGCGCTCTTCAAACCCCAGTGTTGTTGCTGACAGAAACATTTTTAAAGCACTATGCAAACAAGACTACTTTCTTTAATTGCCACATGCAAATGGGATGAAGAAGGATGGAAGGAGATGAATATTAAGCACTCAGCCCAACTCAGCTCTGAGATATAGCCTGCCCTTGCAGGGTAATACGAGAAACAAAGAGCATCCACTGAAAGCTCCAGCTTGAAAAATGTCCCAGTCGAGGAAGCTCATCCTTGGTGGTGGACACCACGGAGTAACCTCCTCTCCGAGGTGTACGCCAGCACAGGACGAGATGTCAGATGATACAGATGTCTCCTTTGATCCTGAACAACAGAGGGGTCATCAACCTACGGCTGGGTGCCCGTGAAGAGCAGGTTGAAGGACTCCTGAAGGCCTTGAACTTCATGCGAGATCCTTCACAGAGCTGATGTTGTAGCCTCTGCTTAGGGACCCGCTCCTCCTGCCTGTTCGTGAAGGGCGGCTCAGTAACAGGGTGCGATCCCAAAGTAAAACGGAGCGCCTGAGCGTTTGCATCCACAGATTCCTTATCAGTAATATGTTGCTGCATGTTTTTAAATTTATTAGATGCTGTAAAACAAATCATTAAGCAGGAAAGCGTTCCTAGCTCCAGAGCTCCCCGACCTTTCATAACCCTATTATGGTACAGAAGTGTTTCTAACAAACAAAAGAGAAATTAGCTCTTTTGTTCTCAGGACTGTCAAGCAGGTTAGTTCATCTAACGTAGTCTTTTATTAATAAATGGCACAGATTTTCATGCTAGCGTAGCTAAGGCAAATCACATCATCGTCTGAAAAAGACATACCTATTATTTTTCAGTGATATATTGCTTTGCAGCTGTAGCCAAAACAATCTAATAAGCACTATTAGATAAAGGTTTCTGAATATGAATGTATTGAATTTGTAGTGGGAGAAAATGAACATATTGCAGCATTTATGTCAGATTGGGTTAAGCTTGTGCATCTCTTTCTCCTTAATAAATGCAGATCAAAAGACTTCTCTTATGTAAAAAATAATAATACAAATTTCAGCAATATGAAATAACACAACCACTTTGTAATGTTAGGAGGAAATCAGTCAGGCATATGCTGTACTGAATATAAATTATTTTAGGAGGGCAAACAGATCCTGTGAATGCTTTCTACTATACATTTATATTCATAAAAGGTTCAAAAAGCCTAGAACAATAGTAGCGATCTATTTGCCATAAAGCATTCAGGCATTTGCAGTGTCACTTATGACAGCTTTGATAGACATGTACTATATAAGAAAAATATCTTCTAGCACTAGGCTCGTTTAATAAATTGATTAAACTTCTCTTCAACCAATTGTTTTTGTCTTAACTTCTTCCTCAGACATCACCTGAAGGAGACTGTGCTTGTTTCCAAAAGACTATGTAAAAGGAGACAGTTTAATCGAGGGCTCGACGTTTGAGTACTGTCAGAATTTCCCCTCAAATGATAAATGATTGTATAATGCAACAGTCTACTGCTAGTGCTGAATTATATTAGCCATCAGTGTTCAAAACCCATTTGAAACTTAATTGTGCTGTGATAGTGGTATCCCCCAGTCAGCAGAACAGCAGGTTTATAAAAATCATCTCCTATGATTGTTAAATGCTTTCCTAATGAAGCTGATGATCACAACATTTTGCAATAAACGCTTCTGTCAAGATGTCACAAATGCATGATAGTGGCCTCTACAGTGAGCAAGTGCTTCTGTGATTTGGGTTTATCTCCGTTGCACGGAATTCAACAGATCGGTCTGCATATGGAAGATAATCTCCATAAAAAGAGAAAGTG